TAGATTAGCCCTTTTGAATCTATCTGTATTGTTCTCTTTCATTATCGAAGCAATTAAACGCATTAATAGCTTCAGTTCCAAATAAATGAAACGTCAAACCAATCTAACCTTTTCAAGTTACTGAGAAAAGATTCTAAAAATATATGGCATTTAGAACTGTCTTTCAAGTACCTTTAGTTTTCCGTATGGTGTGTAAATATAAGTTTACAAAAAGACCTGACTTTGTTTAAGTCAGGTGCAAAATATAAGGCATTATTCAGTTCAAGCACGCAAAATCACAAAATTAACGAACAATAAATCCAACGATAACGATACTTCTGTGGAAATGATGAAGTTTCCGTATCAATTGAAAAGCTAAATCATACTGGTCGGGTTGCAAGAGTAGTCTGATTAACATGTGATCGGAAGTTTGGTTGCTGTTGAAGGAACGGTTTGAATCCTTGAAGGAAAATTGAAGAATGCTCCTGTCAACATTTTTAATTCCTGTCAAACCACATTTTCACACATTTCGTATTTTATTCTCGAGTGTCAAGATGTAGAAACAGCTTTTTACTCGGCTTCTGATAACAATCTGGAAAAAAACGTATTGTGTAGTAGGAGGTGTGGGAGGGGCAGAAAGAGAGTCAGGTCCGCGCTAGTGGCTGCGAATGGGGGGGGGGTCTGTGTCGTTACAAGATGTAGGTGACAGCGGGTGATAGACCGCAGAGTCAATTTAGCGTGAATGAGTCAATTGAGGTTGTAATTCTTATGTGGGTAGTATGTCATACGGGTGTTTTTCATCGGGATGCGGGGAGTGTCTGAGAGTGCTAATAAGGCTGTTGTTTGTACTGAATGAAAGAAGTTGGCCGCTAATCGTTTAATATACTCTTGAAAAGGTTCGATTTGAAGGTCTCTGTGAATATAGGCGTTTGGTATATACCAAGTAGCATTGACAATTTCTCGTAAAATTTTATTTTGCAGGATTTGTAAGTGTTTAATATTGGTTTTAGCTGCATGTCCTCAGATCGGAGCTGCATAAAGGAGGGCTGGATGAAGTATGGAGCGATATAAAATTAATTTGTTTGTAGCAGATAAGTTGCTTCTTCTACCAAGTAGTAGTAGCTGAGGTGATTTTAAATTTTTGTGCTAAGGAGCCGAAGTGGGTTCTGAAGGTAAGTTTTTGATCTAGGATGACTCCAAGGTATTTGGTTTCATTAGTCCAGTCTATTTTTTTGTAAAATATTTCAGGGGGTGGAGGATAGTACTTCATGTTTCCCTTACGGAAAATTATTGCCTTGGTTTTATCAGTGTTAATTTTAATCCTTCAAAGGGTGAGCCATTTTTCCAGTTTTATGAAATAGTTTTGGAATTGGTTTCTTACGGCGATTGCTACGCAGGCTTTAGTAAGTATGGCGGTGTCATCGGCAAAGAGTGCAAGATGAACAGAAGGATCTTTAGGGATGCCTCGCGTATAAATATTCAGAAGTTTCCGTTTAGAAATCAGTCCATTCTTAAAATACTAATACACTTTTTCTTTTCGGATATACTAGTTCGTTGTTTGGTTATATATGACTTTACCTCCATGAAATAACAACAGTTTCTTGCAAATACTGACGTAATTTTTCGTATGACACACTGATTGTCCCTACGTATGGCTTGTCCTTTTTTGGAATCTCCTCCTTGTAATGCTCATTACAGTTTCTTTAACAAAATTTCAACCGCTACTATTCGAAAGTATGATTGTCCAGTGTTCAGACCATTTTCTACTTCGTGGATTGGTTCTTGTAAAAGTGTTGAATATGTCTCTGGATTTGAGCTTTTCCATGCTGAAAATTCTTGAAGTTCCGCATTCTAGGCTTCCTTGAGGTACTCTTAACCAGTTTATTCATTAGTAATGGTCAGTGTTTGTATACTGTTAAAAACAGTGCCATTTGCATTCAGTTCTGTAAACGCCGGTGTCAAAGTTGCTCAGAAAAGCGCACCAAAATCCGAATTTTAGATCATCTGTTCTATCGTTTTACATTTTAACGATACCTCCGATTCTAGCGGTGTTGTCACCTGGTTACGTGGGCGAAAAACCCTACCCCATGTAGAACAGTTTGCCTTTCCTAATTGTTTCTAGAGTGCACTAAAAAAAGATTGTAACTGACTGAATTTACAGAGATGTAATAATAATTAGATAATTGAACATGAGAAAGCACCTTATATTCGCACAGCAGAAAAGCCAGCTCAAGCTGGGCTGGTGATTTGGCTAGAAACATAGAAATAGAATGACAGTTACGAGTCAATTGGAGCATTTGGTAATTACATAAACAGGTGAGGAGCAACACTGCATAAGTGAGATATAAAAAATAATATAGATACTCAGGGTATAACAAATACAAAAGATTACAATTTTACATTATATAGTTGTGGAGATCTATTACAGTTTGCTAAATCAATATGATCATAAGAACAGATATTTAGTAACGGGGTTGTTTATATACCTCTGCCTCTCATGGAATCTATTTGCGAGAAAATAGTAACGAGTTCTGAGTTGAACAATGTTTAGTTCCTCGTGGACACGGTTATTACGAAGGTACTCTGGAGCATCTTCGATCTGCGCAGAATGCAGTTCTGGGCTGTCTGCAACCTTATTCTATTCCTTTTCAAGTGCACGCCCAGACTGGACACGCATAGCAAAGCATAGGACGCAATACGGATTTGTAAATGAGTAACCTGTTAGCTGCAGATAGAATGCTGTTTCGAGCAATTGAGGGGAAGAGTTTAGCTTTACGAGCTTGGAACTTCAGGATAACAGATGCAATGTGTGGGGTCCATGTGAGCGTATTATTGAGGATCACCCCATGATAAGGTTGTAATATTTGATTATTTAACAAATAATTATATTTATTATCCTTGATATTGGAGTGGCAACGCCATACTTGTATCGCATACCGTTGCTGAACAACGTCAGAAAACATTTAAAACTATTATACTAAGTTTTACCAGTTAGTAGACGACTGAAAATTTATCAAGAAAGAAATAGTAAAAGTAAGCTAAAGTGTGATGCTGTAACGGATAAAATTATCTATCTCCGTGAACTGAGAATAAAATTTATGTGTTACTAAGAAGCTCATCTATTATTTCGTTAAATACTGCAAAATATGTTACAAGGGATTTGCTTGGCTCAGGGGATTGAAGTTCCATAGAAATTGAGATTTTCCTTTTTCTCGCATAATTCTTCAGTGCCATAATTAGTGCTTTTGGTTCAACACTCTTTGTAAAAATAAGATATAATTTGCAAATTTTCTTAATTTTGCACCCAAGTGTACTTAGGCATGTTAAATTATATATATTCTTGTGTCAAGTAAAACTATACAGGATGATTTAGAATTCATCATCAATATTTGGTGGGGAGGTAGGGAATTGGAAAAGAAGGAGATTTCACATAGGAAAGTATGGGCGCAGACAAACGCATGGTGATGCAGAGGGCGCTGTGTGTACAACTTCCATACATAAGCACAGCTGTTTGATGTGTGCAGCCAGTCGTCATTCGACTAGGTGACTTTGCAGAAGTGACATGAACCGGTATACGTGGAATGAACTTGCAGATATGCATGTAAATGCCAGGCATATTCCAGAAGGTCCGGTTGTCCACGCAATGTCGTTGTGAGTCATGCATTCTAGCACATGGTCAGCAGTACCGATGCAAAGAAAAGTTACATGTAAGATATTAAATGTTTTTTTCCTTACTACTTCCTTTTTATGTGTTCTTTCCACCATTGAACTGGGGGCATTTTGCTCTACTACATGGCATATGCGTCCATGCATTCCTATGTGAAATCTCTTTCTTTTCCTATTCCCCTACCTCCCCACCAAATATTGATTATGAATTCTGAATCACCCTGTATACCATCGAACATTTTTACATAAAAAAGGAATTTTGTGAAATAGTTCATTTATTTATCTTATCTTCATTTATTTATCTCCCCAACATAAAAGATTTGAAAGCGTTCCAAAGTATCTATGTGTTTAGTGGCTTGATTAAAAGATCATTTAACATATTTTACTCATACTTAGAGATGTTCTAACAAATATTTGATCAAATATGCCTCTTGAGTCTGAAGTAGTCTTATAATACAGTTCCCTTCCTAAGACTGTTTATCATATTTTTCTAAATTTGTATTTAAAACACATCAGTTCTGGGTAGCGTCAGCATTAGGTTTATGCTACCCGATGCCATCTCTACAGCTTCTAAATTCTGCTGCCCAAGCTTATCTAAATTCTAGAAGTTTGCTATCCAGTATGGCAGCACCAATTACACAAGCTCTGACACATTCTGGAAAAGGATATTATCAGGAACTAGGCTCATATTTAAGATCCCTCTGGGTGGGTTCAACATGGTGGATAACAATTTATCATGGAGAGAGTTTGAATAGTTCATCCTTTTAAGTTTGGACAGCTGAAATCACTTTTCTCTCCAGAATTAGTTTGGGTTGGCAAGATTTCAGCTTGTAGTATTAATTCCATCCCAAAATAGGATGCTTTGTGGAACTTACATCCCTTGTCTTACATGAAACAGACCAACTAATGCAACTCCATCGACCCCAAACAGTAAACAGTACATATACACAAAATTGAAGTTATGTTACAGCCATCTCACAGTATTTATCTGCCCACACACAGATACTTATAGCTTGCCAGAAAAAGTGCTCAACTAAATTTTTATATTCCAGTAATAGTAAAATTTATCCACTGGATTAAAGTATTCATGTACTTCATAGGCACCTACTAAGCTTCCAGATGCTTAATAGATAGCTATGAAGTTTATCTACAAATTTAAAGCTCACAGCAGAATAATATGGCTGATTCAGAAAATACTACATTAAGAGGTTTTTAAAAACCATTTATCACCAAATTTAAAGTTTCAATGGCTTATAACTGCAACATACGAAGAAGTCAATTTTCAATAACTTTATGCATTGCAGTCACATATTATAAAATGAAGGGGAGGAATGATAAATAAACACAATGAAAAATTGGCATAAAAATCTACATTTTTATTAAGTATAGCATTATACATCTTTAGTTTGAATAATATTAATGTGTTACTCACTACCAGGAACTCCATCTGGCAATAAGTTTCCAATGACTGCCTTCCTACTATAGCCCTTTAGCATGTTTTTTAAGAACATGATGAGACTTACATTAGTTTCGACATATATTCCATTTAAATGCAATTTCACATGATGAACAAAGGAAAAAAAGAAAAGGAAAAAAAAATAATAATAATAATAATAATAATTGTGGTACCAAAAACTAAAAAAAAAATAATGTTTTCCCTTTTGATACTGTAAACAAACAACAAAAATCTTCAATCTTCCATTACATATTGTATTTTTTAACTTTTGTTATTTTCCATTAATCTTACATAAATGCGTAAATATTTTCGTTTTAACAAAATTTGATATGAACTAATTACTAATTTTCCTATAAAAATAATGTTTCATTCAGTGCAGTTTCAATTAGTGTAATATCTTAGAATAAACAATTAACAGTACTAAGCGAGGTATTCTTGTATTCCAATTCCCATACAATGAAATGATGCATCATTACAAGGAATAATATTGTGGAATGGCAACACAGGTGCAGATAGATGGTAAATGAGAGGGTAAAACTAATATCAAGGAAACAGATCTAATTTAACAACAGATTAATTACCGTGAGAACAACAGGGTTCATATCAGTTACATTTTGCAAGGACTGAATCTAATGCATTCAACTTTCATAAGCTGGAAAAATTATTTTTAAGAAGATTGCATTACTAAAAGAGAAAAATACCACCATAAGCTAAATTCCTGACTCTATTATCATTACAAAAACTGCTTCCTGCCAACCAAAGCCCCTAGCAGTATATAATAAGTCAAAAAAAGTTTTACTGCAATAATTTTTATTAATCAGTACATGAAAATTAAACAAATAATAGATGAATTATCACTCATCATTATGTGTATCAAATGTAGCTCAATATATAACAGATCTATTAACAAAGAAATAATGTACGAATATGTTTTAATTTAAGTGTTCTGAACTTAATAACAGTACTACATAAAGATGTTGTCAATAGAAAAATATATTTTTATGATGCATATATATTTATAGTCATATCTTATCTCACATAAAACTTCATTATAAATGCTGAAATTCATTTATCACAACAGGATTTTATAAGAAAGGAACATATCTTTACATAAACACATATCAGCTCTGCAAAATACACAAAAAAGGAAGTTTTAAAACGTAAGTACAAAATAATCGAAAGCATATCAAGCTTTAACACCAATATATGAACACTCCTTTCCAGTTTTTTTTAAGGTTTCCATTAATGTTTCAGCTGGCAGAGATGAAGTTACCAAAACTTTTTTGTTCCCTAAATCAATTGAAAAATCATCAACACCAGAACCTGAAAAATCAAGAAGAGTGATTATTTATAAAATGTCATAATTTTAAAAAAGTATGCAAAAGATTATCATAAAGATTAATATTTGGTTTTTATAATTGAAACAATAGTGAAATATTTTCAATGCTTTTTCATTATACACACCCCTATCGGCACTGCTGTTTTAAAAATGACTCCTGCCCTTAGAACATTAGCTTGGCAGAATATTAACTCCCAATACTTGAATGCCTTCCAAAGTCACCAATGAGTTTGCAATACTTCAGTGGGGATGCAATGAAAGTTATGAAAAAGAAGAGGCACAGCAACGTGCTACCAAAATAAACTTATAATGTTACCAAAAATATTTATGTGGCAACATGGGTACGATCATAGCAGCACAGGTCTGATTACAAGGATTTGCACTTTTTAAATTCAAAGTCATTTTTTTAACAGTGTTTCTTTTTTTCACTGATTATATTTGTTTTTCTCATAACATTATAATGGGAGTGTGGAGTTTGCAGCTGAAGGATAAAGCATTACATTTCCGTATGACATTTTGTGTAACAATACAGAATGGAAAAATTTGCATTCTGGGAAACTGCATTTCTTAAATGACCAAACTTTATGGAAATGCAATGTGAAAAATAGCAAGCAAAGTGTTAGAATGTGGGTCAGAGATTAGTTTTAAGATAGCCATATCTTGCTAACAATAATTATTTGCTTTACTTATTGTTGGTTAGTGAGTATTAGCTTCTTTTTCTTTCTCTGATACTTTTTTTAATGGAAACACATTGCTGTATACATAGGTCAAAAAGCAACATAAAAATACTATAGGATTTCCAGAAAATGACTGAAATTTCTTTTTTTTAATTTTATTGATTGATTGCTCTGCTATGGAATTCTTAGGGCACTGCTGTTTTAAAAATGACTCTTCCCTTTAGAAAATTAGCTTGGCAGAAAATTAACTCCCAATACTTCATGAATGCCCTCCAAAGTTACCAATGAATTTGCAATACTTCAGTGAGGATGCAATGTAGGTAATAAAATAGCATTCTAAATACAAAGCACTTTTTACTCTGAGATAGTAGTTCTCCTTCACCTTTTTGCATCAAGTACAAAATACTTTGCCTAAAAGCATACACAGCAATGTTTTATCTTGCACATTTCTCAGATAACAACATGTAGAAAAATATTGTCTTGACATTTAAAATTAGTAAATTTTCAACTTATCACCAAATTTAATGTTTTAATGGCTTATAACTTCAACATACAAAGAAGTCAATTTTCAAACAGTTAAACTCAAAATATTTTGTAGGAGACTTGCATATGGTACCTCTTCATCAAGGATAAAAAAAATTCTGCATTGCCAGCTAGAAATATGTCCTTTAAACAGGCTAAATAAATATAAACGTAAACAAATGTCAAATTTCCTTTAAATAGTCTAAATAAACAACAAAAAGAATAAAAAATTGTACTAATACCATGAAAACAAAACAGAGATTAAAATAATAAAACACAATAAAAACAAAAAATTAAAAAAAAAATTATAATAAAAAAAAAAAACTATAACAAAAATTTTAAAAGAAAGGAAGTTAAAAAAGTCTGAAAGGGTTCAGATTTTAAACAGTTACCAAAAGGCCTTCTAAAGTTTAATATAGTTTATCAGTAGACAGAATGACCCAGTGGAACAATAAAACAATTTTATAGGTAATAAATATAGGAGACTAACAGAAACAATGTATATCTGAAAAAGTGAAAAAATGAACGTATTCTATAAATATTACCATTATACGTGTATAAGTCGAGATATTTTGGACACAAAAAAAAGACTCAAAATGGGGGTCGACTTATCGGGGACCATAAAAAATTAAAGAATAGGAAGTTCAAAATTTCTTTATATAATGCAGTAGTTTTCTTCCGCACTCAATGGACGACTTATAAGTCACTTACTTGAAGTAATTTCATGACTTTCATGTGAGAACAATCACAGAGTTTCCTACTAACTAGAGTAAGTTCGATTAAACCAAACAATTTTTGGCCCCGAACAAAAGATCAATACGGCAATAAAAAGTTTCGCCAACACCAAGAAAGAGAAAGAGATAGTTTTTACGTACGTATAAGTCTTTATAATAGTTATTGTTCATTCATGAAATTCTTTTGTTAAAGGCGTACATGTCAAAATTAAAAAAATAGCCCACACACTAACTGAACAGTTTGAATATTTCTTTTAACTTTTAAAAGTGAAAATGCAGATAGATTTTACGTACGCGAATCTTTCCGGAACAAATTCTAGAATTCTATATTTCCGGAACAATTCTGAGAGACGGATTTTGATTGCTATTTAAAAGTTTTTTTTATATATTTACTTTTTTTTTTCTCAGATGATTTTGAATAAATGTAGTACTTAAAAAAATTTTTTTCGAAGTTTCTCGATCGATTTCGGAAGTAAGGGATCCACTTATACGCGGGTTTCTTATTTTCTACGAATTTTTTATGTCGAAGTGGGGGGTCGACTTATACGCGGTATTGACGTATACGCGGGTTTATACGGTAACATTTGTAATTAGATATATCATGAAATAAATGCATTTTTTTTGTTACATCAATTCAATCAAAAACTTTAAAAAGATAATAGTACTTTTAAGAACTACATCCATTGCTTTTAAATAGTTTAGCTCATTAATCAATATCAGGGAAATAAAATTTGAAAAATAAATACCCTACTTTTTGCTGAAAGGCAACAGATTCAAATGAAAAGCAAAACAATTCAGTCACAGTGAATCAACAGAAAACTGTTAGTCCTTTTAGGCTATTAACTAATTAAAACTGATATAGAAGACATGAAAGAAATTTAATTTAGTAACTTTTTGACTTTTCTAACAAAAATTAAAAAAAAAAAAAAAAAAAAAAGAGAGAAGAAGAGAAATAATAGGAAGTGTGTAAGATTTATTTCTATATATTTTCTTGACATATTCATGTTCTAAGAACTTTTTAAATCTTGCAGTAAAAAATGCTATTCAAACATTTAAAAAATTTAAATTATGACTAGATTTTTATCTGACTTAAATGTTTATGTATTACTCCCTCGTGACCTAACGGTTCATTCAAAGTAAAACAAAAGTTTAAATTTTCCATAAAAAAAAAAGAAATTCATACATATTATTGATATCAATATTAAACTGAAATATGCTGCTTTCCTCAGATTAATGACTTCTGTTTCAGAATTATCATTTTCCTATGAATTTCACAATTTTCTGTTACTTCCTTTGGTTGCTAATTCCCTTATCAAAACAGCTGTTTTTTTTTTTTTTTTTTTCATTTACCTGAAACTAAAAATATGATGATATGATAATATTTTTTTAAATCATGCATAGTTTTATTCATTTAGTATATTCCACTTCCTTCAGTTGTTATCATAGCCATTCAGTAATTTTAAATGGCCTAACTTCTAAGATAAAATATTTCTATTTACTGAAGAATTTTGCATCTTATATGAGTTCTATTTGAGCTCTGACATCTTCTGCTATTATACCTATATTTTTAAACACTTAACTGGTATGTGTTCTTCTTACAACAAGTATTCCAAATTTTTGTTTATAATTCCTCAGAAATCTCTTCTTACTTAATATAAAATTTTAGAAGATTTATTACCCTGTTTTAAACTAAAAACTGCTAAAAATAGTAGAATCCTTATAAAATCATTGATAACAAGACAGTTTATCTGTAATCAAATTCCAATATAAAATTACTGAGAGATTAAAACAGCTTGAGATGTTGCCATAATCAATGAATCACTAAATCAATTCAATTATTTCCACAGATGAATTCAGTACTGATCTCAAAATAAAAAGTGTAAGAAAGTAAGGAAATGCAAATTTTAACAATAACATTATCATTACTTCTTCCAGTTATTTAATACAGTTAAATCCTGACTATCTAGCATTCACACTTTTTCTTCCTTCTTCTTTTAAACATTCTTTCTAAATGCAAAATTAAGCAAATGAGACTTTTAAAGGTATTATAAAGCAAGGTCTCTTGAAACCTACTGATAACTTCTAAAATGTGAATATAATCACACTGCTCTCTTTCAGAAGACATTGCTTACACACCCCCAAACATCATATCCATCATATTATTCCACAGATTTGTCTTTGGTTAGGTTTATATGATTATGGCAAAGCACATAAGGGCTATCTGCCCAAGGAGAGGTTGCCTTAGTGCAGGACATTCTAAGGAAAATCCGCTCATATCCATTTTACACATAAAGAAAACTACAAAAACACCAATTGAAGACAGCTTGCTTGCCTAAAATCGAACCCAGGTCAAACTACTAATGTTCAGCAACTTTACCACTCTGCCATTAATCAGCCAATTTGTCCATGGAATAGAATACACAAGAAAAGTGGGGAGTTACTATGAATGCATGAGAAATATTAAAGTTCACAACAGATCTTTGGTTTGTCTATTGCAATAACTAATCCCACAAGCATGTTTAATATAGGCAATCACTATAGTAATAAGCCTTATACATTTAAAGGAGGAACGAGTCAGGAGAAAGTTTTATAGTTAGTTTTTTCTGCTTCAAAATAATATTGTAACACATATTTTAGAAGAAAACCGTTTACATATTTCTCATAAATCCTCAATAAATAATAAACATAACAAATTTAATAAAAAACTGCTTGAAACATCCTTCAAAATAGTCATCATAACAAATTTAAATGCATTTCTTCACAACACCTCTAAGAAAAATGGATTAAGGCTTGCTTCTATGACAAAAGCTACACACATTCTGGTGAAAGGTATTCTTGTGATAGGCAGACAGTAACAAGATCGCTGCATAGACTGGAACTTGGAAGGAGTGTACTTAACTCCAAATAGTCCAACAGAAATTGCTTTCACCAATATTTATTACAATTGATCGAAAGTCATATTGGTAAAATGTTACATGTTTTACAGATCTTTTTAGTCTAACAGCAAAGTAATCCTTTATCTACTCTGATTAATTACCCAGCTTTTATTAGAATGACTGGAGCAAGTTTTGTGGCATCTTTGCCAAATTTCATGATCAATGGCAGTTTATAATTGGATAAAATGTTTTAACTTCATATGCTGAAGATTTACAAAATACGTTGGATTTTATGTACAAAATGCATTTCTCCCAAAAATTCTACATAATTTTACATGCAAGTTTTTGATATTCAAGCCATTAATTAAGATGACTTTTAAAATTTTAAGAATGGAAATTTCTTTCTCCATTCACATGGCTTTTCTGCTGCGAGTTGTATATGTTCAACTATCCAGAAAGTCAAGATTTTACTGCATATTAATTTTACTTTGATGACCTGCATTTTGATGATGCCCAATAGTATACAGGATAATCTTATTAACTCATCTAATCATTAACTGACAATATCTACCATACAGTAAAGTTTCATTAAATCATCTATACACATCCTTACAGTTAGCGTACCCTTATACAGTTTGTGGCATATGGACATTTCCTACAAAAATTATCACTACAATAAATTACTTAACAGACAAAGAACATCATCTGAAAGTTAACCTCATCCTCAATGTTGTTTAGATATTATTTAGCTTACTTCTTCATGTTTAATTTTGTAACAGGATAGATAGTTTGGAATCTGGGTTTTCTGTCACATAGAATTAGATAATAAATACCTTTTAGTTTTCCCAATACTCTGCTCACAGCTCCTGAGCATCCTTCACAAGTCATTTCAACAGAAAATTCATGTACCTGAATAAAAATCAATACAAAATTTAATAACATACACACACACAGCTTACCGGTGAATCAGCTGAGTTAAAAACTGAAAAATGCTCCACTTCTCCAAGATTAACACAGTGTATTTACAGTGCAAGATTTTAAATTTCAATGAAACATTTTTATCTAAATGATCTTATGATTAAGAGAATTAAGCGCAAGTATTAGTGCAAGTTAGTTAAAGTAAAAAAATATAAAAAGGGGAGAACAAAAATCTAAAACGCATAAACAAAAACTTGTCTGCAAATACGTAAAAATTTTAATTCATATACATTTAAAAAATTAAATAATATACCTGCGCCGCCATAGTTCTACACCAAGGAAGGAGAAAAAAAATTGATTAAGAAATCTCAAAGTGTATCAAACTCTGGACTGCCAGATAATCACAATTCAATTACTCATTCATCGTTCACCCTTATCATAAACAAAACTAGAATACATGTGTTGCCAAAGTAATTGAGTAAATTATGATTGCTTTCAAATGTGCCATTTTCAACTACACAGTATTGTTTACGTAAAAGTGAAATTTTGTTGTATTTTTAATAAGAGTCACAATTTTTTCCCAAGCTATCATAAATTATTATTCAAAAACTGTATTATTAATATTCGGAGCCAAAAAAGGGAGAAACAGCTTATTATGGTTGTAAAGTTTTCAATGTAAACAACAACAAGAGTTTCGCAGTTTTTCAAGCTATATTTTCTAATTTTAAGTTTTCATTTCCGCCCCATATTTTTCTCCAACTCCAACTTGCTTTATTTGCCGCGATTAACCTGCGAAATCGCAGGTTGTGTTCCGGCTATCGAACTTTGGTGCTTCTAGGAGCGCTGCAGGTAACCCATACTTTTTTCTTAACGTTTTATTTATAATTAAATCTCTTGTATTTTAGTAGCGATGAATACTGCTATATTTAATATTAAAGAATAATTTTAATTAAATAATCGCCAGATTTTTGTTATCGCTACTTTGGCGACCTTTTGGTTTCCCGACATTAAAATTCTTAACTCGTACTTAACAGGTAGATCCTTTCGAATGCGAGTTCGCCACGAATACTCATCTCTCCACCCAATCTATGCCGGCGTCTCTCAGGGAAGTTTACTATCGCCAGATGTTTAATATATGCTGTCGACACAGCCATCATCCCTCAACATTCCAACACCACCACGGTAATCTCTGCACTGCAGAATTATCTTTCAAGTCTAGAGCTCTGGCTCGGACTGTGGAAGATCAAAATTATTGTCGCAAAATGTGCCGCCATTTTATTTATCCGACGAACTCGCCCCAATTTACCCAACTTGCTATTCTTCGGAGAACCAATTCCCTGTGTTCCTACTTATAAGTATCTAGGAGTCATACTTGATTGAAAATTAACTTGGCAACCTCACATTCGAAAAACAATTTCCAATGCGAAGGCTGTCAAATCCCAATTACTGGTTTTTTTTGCTAGAAAACGCGAAAAACAAGATCCACGAAAAACAAGATGTTGTTCTATAAATCAATGATAAGGCCTCTTCTGACTTATGCAAGTCTCGTGTGGGGCGCAGCAGCAATTACTAACAGGAAACATATCCAATTTTCCAAAATATTATGCTTCGGGAAATCTATAAACTCCTTGGTTTGTTACGAGCTTTTTTGGGTTCAAAACATCAAGACAATCTTTTACTTGTCTGGGGGTGATGATCCTACGCAGCGATTATTAGTAGCAATGTAATCTTTTACATGGTTTTCGATGTTAAGAAACTAAATCATTAGTTATGCATATTTCTTTTATAACAAAAATGGCATATAAAGAATTTCTTACTATAAAATGTACTTTACATTTTATATCAAACCCTAAGTATTTCCATGTTTATTTGAAAAATTTAAATTTGTTAGAGAAACTTAAGGAAGGTGGGTGAGAGCGGCAGTTTTAAGTTTTTGTCCCGCCTAGGAAAAATGCAAGATCCAGCACTGGTATAGCAACAACTATGATGTAAAAGGAATTTAAAAATGTTATACGTTAAAATGTATTGAAAATAAAAATTTTAAATGTCAGTTGTAAAGTACTGTAAAATTAAACTGGTACAAAACGTAAACTTTGGTCAAAGTACAAGTGAAAAATTTTGTATAAATGAATGTGTTTAAAGTTAGGCTCTCCAGCCAACGCTTAAAAGTTTAAATCAAGCTCTCTTTTAGCACGTTAGGTGTAGTTTTGTGTTTAGAGAGTTTTCTAAGATCTAGAATGTCAAGTTTTAGCAAATGGTAGATGATGTTCAGTGATAGCGTGTATTCGCGGTAACACAACAACGGCACGCTTAGTTCATTCAATACAAAATCTGGAGAGCGTGGGGGGAAGAAGGGTTTAAAATACGTATGAATGAAAACTGTTTGAGGGCCAAAGAAGTTCAATAGAGCGTAATTTTAAGATAATTGGAAATTTTTGTAAAAGATATACTAATACTGTTTCCTTCCAGATAATTTGAAAGGACCAAGATTGAATAGCATGTTCGAATGCAAGAAGCAGCAGATGATTGTTCCCAGTCAAACTGTGAAAATTGTAAATAATTTTTCTTAGTTTTAGTCTAGCTTTAGATCTTTTGGCCCTAAACAGAAAAGTTTGATGATGAAACAGATTGAAAATGCACAGTGTTAGAAAGTTAACATTCAAGTTTAAGAAGTTTTTAGAATTGATACTCTCAAACAAGGTCGTTTTGAGACCTTATTCTTCGAGTAATTAAATTCTGGTGGGTAAAGATGTAAGGTTTATCCTACGTTTAACAGTTATCTTTAGTTAAAGCTGCTTTCCTGCCCTTCCTAATTTCAGCTTACAATTTCCTACTAGAATGTGTTTTTAGAATCGCGTTTAATGTCAGTAAGAGCGGTATTTAAGTCGAAGTTCCACTGACTTCGTTAAAGAGCCAGGGTTTCCGACTAGCGCGCGTTCGCCTTTTGGTTACTCTCTCTCTCTAAGCTATTACTACGCTCGATCGACCGTATTTCAGGCCCTTGATAGCTTCGCCAGCTTAGTTAATATTTCGGAGCCAAATACTTAGAAATTTTTTATAACTTCTGCTATATCCTTAAGTTAAAGCCTTAGTTAAGTTTTATTTCTTATTACTTTGAGTTCAAGCCCAAATGGAGGCTTTGCTGTACGCTCTGAGAAAGAGCCATGTGTAAATTCTTATTTTGAGAAATAAAGGGTAATTAGCCCTTCTTGAGTTTTACGCTTCTGTTTCTGAACTAAAGTGATTATTCATTTAAGTGTTTACGAGTTTCTTACACATTTAACTGTTAGATAAAACGTTGGAACCCCACAAATTTTCCTACATAATATCTGTATGCTGCTTGTTCGTAGTTACTTGTAAATATTTGTTTCTCTTACTCCATTTTTTTTTCTTACATTTTGACCAAGGATTGTACTGCCTGGGACGTGCAGTCCTTGGGAGGGGGCAGTGTTGGGAAATGACCCCCCCAAATCGCGACGAAATCAACGACATGCCATAGAAAGAGGGAGAACATCCTAGAACGAATTCTTACCGGTTTACCTCAGAATGTTCTGGAAGGCAAGTCGAAAGCTATATTCAAAGTACAAAAGCCTGTTCGTAGAGTAGCAGTCTATCTTGAGTTTATCGTGTACCTTTAGTACGTGAGAGTTGCGATCAGCCATTAAGTCGAGAACTGTATTTTAGTACTTTACCGTGAAGCTGTTTTCACCATTATAGCTTGATTGCCTGAAGGCTGCGTTGCTGATTGTTTCAGGATGTGTATTGTAGTTTTTCTATGGCTGTAAACGTGTCTGGAGCTCCCCTGTGTAATACTGAAGAATAAATTGTGCTTTGATTCCAAATCAAATGTCAAATCTACGAACCTGTAGAATGCATCATTATGTTTCTGCTTTTCATCATTTACTAGTCACTATTCATCTGCTTCTATTTAACAAACTGTTACGAGCTTTGTCCTACCATATGATCTCCTAATCTCACGGCTTGCATACTATGTATGTTATTCTCTGGCAATTCGCAAGTCAAATTGTGTTTGATTAAGGGTAAGGCCTCATGCCTAGGCACCTAGGGTTTTAATGCCATTTCTACTGCTCCAGTCATATATGTTCCAAATAATAACTTTGCCCTTAATGTTTATATGTTACACAGCTGATAAACAGTGCCAACCTATATTTGAACCATACAGACTTATTTAGGTTATCATCACATCTTTTTTACACTGAAAACTAGAAAGATGACTATTGCCATTTTCACAACTGCGTTATTTTTTTTGAGTGGACCATCTTTATTTTTTGGGTTCAAACTGTTGAAGATTTACGACTTTTCTTTACTTTTCTACATAAATTTATAAAATTTTAACCAGTTATGAAAAAGGAAAAACATATGTCATATACCAATTCAGTCTAGTGCCATCATTTTGATGGCATTAGAAAAAGCAAGAAGTGTTCAAAATAATCTTGTGTAAAAGTTATTGGGTAAATAAGCTGTTGTTGTCCTGTCCGTCTACTTCATGGAATAATGGTTGCCAGAGCCTAAAGGAGGTTCGACTTCTATTTCGACAGCAATTTTGACGCAGAGGAGCCCGGGGGTGGTCGACGGTCTCCTACCCATCTCCCCCACCACCAAACCACACGAAATTACTTTCAACTCACCACATATTTAGAGTGGCCCCATACTGCAAAAATGCTGCACATTTACAAACATCCATGCCTTCTCCGAGATTTGAGTCTGAGTCCTTTAGTATTGCAGTAGGATCCCCTAACCACTATACTGTCTGGGTGGCGGGTAAATAAGTACTCTGCATCTCTAATTGTGCACATATACACTTTGGTTTCCTTGGGAAATGTCCGAAAAACTAAACTGCACATGTGAAGAAAACACGACAAAAGAGCCAATTTAAAGGAATTCGATATCATAGAATTTTTCTGCCGCAACTGCTTCAGAGAATGAAAAAGTTCTAATATATGGCACAATATGCAATATTGAGTTTGGAATCCAGAAGTCCAATATCTACAGCATTGAAAGAATAATAATGTTTTTCCTTACAATATCTGAGAATGGAGAATTTAATAAATTCCAACTAACAAAACCTGGGGTGTTAGAAAAGTGATTTTTTTCCAGACTAACTGAAATTCACATATGTCACTTTCAAACATCTGCTGGCTAGAGAAGCATACTATGACCAACTTTCAACCTTTGAGTAGATGGGGCACCTTTTATATAACTGAAACAACCTTTGAGTAGATGGGGCACCTTTTATATAACTGAAACAAAAAGTCCCTTGACATATTTGTTTGCAGTGAGGTGCTGCTCATGCAGGTTTTCTTTTGTTAACATTAACAGTGTGGAAAAGAAAAGATTAGATTCCAAAGAATGGTTATGTAACAAATTGCACTCTTTCTTACCTTCCTAATTTGATCCTGCTTATTACTTTTTGCAGGCTACTATTATTACAGCTATTTTATCAAA